CCAAAACTATTTGGTAATATCGCAATCTAAAAGTTTCTGGTTTGCCTCTACTTAAAGTGGAAATAAACCCAATCCCAACAAACTTCACCTACAGCAGTAGCCATCTTCCGAAAGGTTTCTTCTACCTTATTGCGCTCGACGCGGGTATTAAAAATATGTCTTTTAATTTAAATCTTAAAGGCAAATGAACTGGGAGATCAATGTGTGAGATATGTCAAGTAGGAGGTCAAAAGCATCCCAATTAGAAAAGACATTTTATAATTTTCTTGTCTCTGCAATTTTATTTTATAAGTGCTTCATTACTGCTCTTAGAACGCAATTTTGGTTTTACTAACACCGCCAGTGAGAAAAGTAAGCTTTTAAGAAGCATTTTGTTGTATAAGTTAGTCGTAAGAACGTTCTTAGTGCAAAAATACAATACAGTTTTACGATAAACTTCAATATTGTTTTATAAACGTTTAAACAACAATTTTATATGACATTTAAGATTACTGAAGAAATTCATATCATTATAGATTCATACTGGTATAATTTGACATGAGTTTATTCGTTTGTGAACGCCAATAAAACTCCTTTATTAGAGCTGTGTGAAAAATTTATATAATTGATTTATTAATAATTTCTTTCTGATATTACCGCTTGCTGAAGCATATTGCACTCAGATGGTATCTTTCAAAAATATTACATGGTTATCATTAACACCGTTAAAATGAAAACTGTATACAAAAACTATAAGGCAATAAAATGTTTGTAAGGGTAAAATCATTTATTAATATGCTTATAAAATGAATAAGATATTCATTTTTCCGGCAATGCTCATGCAACTTTTTCTCACACTTACCTTTTTCCTGCAATACATCTGTTTGACCAAATTCTACACATAAATTAAATATTTCATTGAAATCTCTTACAAAGCAAAAACACTTAACAGGAACTCTCAAGGTGGTGAAAGTATTTCATAACATGAAAGCCATATTTTGAGATGTTTCAACTGAACATCACTTTACAACATAAAATGTCTTAACTAACTACATTACCGTTTATATTAACGATCAATGACTTGAATTATTTTATTACAATACAGGCCAAAGTAAGAAAAAATACGGAATAAAAGTTTGGAATTTATCTACCAAAATTCATGTTACTGGCACTTTAAGTATTAACCGTAAATAAACGAGGAATTGTGTACGAAATATGGTATGTCTCTACCTTAAAGGTGTACGCTCATTGGGGGTACGGGATCAAAGAGAAGAGAACCGAAACACCTCCGCTGGATTCTGATATATCCAGGGTATCCAACATAAGGATCCTATGCATGGGGGTCTTAATACTTGAGGGAGATACAGCTCAGGTAGAATGAGGAGAAAGCTGCGTTCTTTATGTGTATTGATATGCCGTTGAAAAACTTGAAACATTTCATGGTTTACTGAGGTATTTGGGGAAAACAAAAATTAGGCCAAATCGTTTTAATATATTGATGACTTTATTCTAAAAAAAAAAAAATATTTAAAAAGCCAATGAAACTTTTCCGTTGGTACTTTTTAGGCACTACATGATGGTATTTAATATTTTGTGTCCAACGTTTCGTTTTTGAGAAACCATCATACACTTTTTTTATATTGCCCGGAAATAGGTGCCTTCTACAAATTCATCGATCTATGAATGCTACCTTTGTTTTCCTAGTTGTAAAGAAAAATGTGTTTTTTTTATTTTATTCAAGAAAACCTTGTTGTAAGATTAAGTGATAGATGCATATTACATAATACATAATGATATGGTGGGGTAAAATTTCATAAAATGATACTTAATCTAGTAATATTCTGAACAACGGATATATTTTCAGCTTCTTTTTTATTTTATTCACAACAGATGTCCAAATAGGTGCCCATTATTTTCTACAGGTAAATATAACCTTCTGACGGTAGACTTCAAAACATCACGTACCGTTTCTTGTGTAATCATCCCAAATGCTTCTAGTACACATTCTTGTGACTGCTGCTCAGTTTGAGAAGTATGCTGATAAACTTGGCTTTTAATAAAACCGGGGAACCCGCTGGTCAGGACACTTCACTGGAGGTTCCAATCCACCTTCCGGAAACTCGCTGAGAAAGATACTCTCGAACATGCCAACGGTGCGCTCCTGCACATGTCGTGCAGGAGCGCACCGTCTTGTTGAAATCAACCGCTATTAACCTGTGCCAGAGGTAAATTATCCAAGCAGTCTTCTGGATCATGGTACTGCAATTGAAGGTACCGTTCTGCAGTTAACGAGTGGTTAACTGTTAAAACTTTAGTATCAAACCAGTCAATGATCCTTATAAAAGGATTTTCGGCTATTTGCTTCAGTGTGCTCCAGTCATCAGCTTTATATAATATGAGGGTGTCGTCTGCAAAACACATAATCTTTCCAGAACTGTTAATTTTGAATAAGTCATTTAAGTAGAGACTAAATAATAGTGGGCCTAGTACTGTTCTTTGAGGCACACCGCACTTGATGTACATTTTTTTACTGTAAGTGTTAGTGATTTTGACATTCTGTGCCCGATTCAAAAGGTAATTTTTTAAAAGGATTTGTGACGTTCCCCTAAATCCTAATCTTTCCATAACTTTCAGAAGCTCGACATGGTTAACCGTATCAAAGGCATACTTTAGATCAACAAAGATACCAATAATAGGTATCTTTTTGTTGGCATTATAGTTAATTTCATCCATTGCAGCCAAAATTGCATCTGTAGTACATTTTCCTTTTCTGAATCCATATTGGTCAGAACATATAATTTTGTTTTTGTCCAAAAATTGTAATGTCCTTTCTTGTAGTAATTTTTCAAAAATTTTGGCTATATTCGATAGTACTGATGTGGGTCTATAATTTAATGTTTCCATTCTGTCACCGCTTTTATAAACAGGAGTAATAACAGTTGTTTTAAATGCACCAGGACAAATTCCAGATCGGAAACACCAATTAATGACGTAAGAAAGTGGTTCGGCTAAATCGTAGGCTATTATTTTTAAATGCTCAGCTTTGTCACCATCTACACCACGACTCTTTTTGGTTTTAAGTGATAGGACAGCTTCTTGTACTTCAATCGGACTAACGCTTTCTAAAAAGAATGAATTGGGAAGTTGGGTTTTTGAGAACATGTCGTTCGAAACATTTTTTTTAATACTGGCTGCTAAATTTTCTCCAACATTAGCGAAAACATTTAAAAATGCATCGGATATTTGTCATTTATCTGTTAATATTGTTCCATCTTGATTCTTAATTTCATCAATATTTGGCTTCTCTTGAACGTCTTTGCTAGTTAAGTGATCGACAACCGACCATAGTTTTCTTGGATCAGATTTGGCATCTTGTAATTTTTTTAGATAAAGTTGGCGTTTGGCTTCTCTAACCAGATTGATAAAAATATTTTTATATTCATTACATTTACGGGAGGTATCTGCAGATGGTGATGTTTTCATTATTTTGTATAGTTTCTCTTTTTTGTTGGCAGACTTTATCAAACCTTCAGTTATCCAGGGATTCCTGCTTCTATCAAAATGTTTAATTTTAACTCTATACTACATTCAATTAAATGTTTAATACGTTCAATGAGTGTGTTTGCAGCATCATTAACATTTGTCCACGATTCTAATTTGATATTTGCAAGTAGTTTTTTATTATCGACAAAACACCTAAATTTCACTGTTTCATTATTGGAGGTGGATCTACTTTTATTTTTTCTGGTGATGATATAAGTATTACAGTGGGCAAATGATCGGTAATATGGATTTCAACAATTAATGGTATGTACCGAAAGAAATTTGAAAATTTTTGATGAAACAATGATCAATGCAAGAACTAGAACTATTATTGGTAAATTTATATGTGATATGAATCCATTGCTCTGCATTACAGTCTGGATACTTTTGCTTGAACTCAGTAATGAGAGTTGCGACGATTAAATATACCATTATTAGTGACTATACCCCCGTCGGACCATATTTATTATTTTTGAAGGGAAATTGAAATCTTCTTCACACGTTCCTGTGTACCACTCACAAAAATGCTGGCGCCGCGCCGTTCGCTATCCCCTGATCTAAGTCCTTAGCAAATCCTAGATTCATAGGGGTGATATACATTTTTACGCTAAATAAATTGGGATGTGGATTTGGTTATTTCTACATTTTTCTCAATGTGCCTATTTGATACCTCAGAGTTCTCAGCAACTGCTTGTAAAACATTATTCTGAGTTTTCTCTAAAGATTCCTTTCTTCGAGACGTAACAGACTTTTAACCATATGCATTCAAATTCTGTGCCAACACGACAATGGACTCACTTGGCTGTCTTCTTTCAGGTAATTTATCGAGATACACTTTTGCAGTATTCTTAGTATTCTTGTTGCAAAAAATGTAGCGTCAGCATTTCGAAGTTTTATTCATTACTTAAATGACTGCTTGGCCTCTTTGAAGATAATGAAGCAATATAAACAATACAAAATAATAACAATACTCGGTGACATGTATTTACTTCAAGTCAAGCATTTGTTTGCAATGCCTACTTAAAAGAAATAAGAATAATTGCACTATTGATATTTTATTAGCAAATGTAGTAATGAAAATGTTCAAAATGATAGCATGATTGGCTGACATTTTCTTTTCTGATTGAGTTACATTTAGCAGCTGTACGAGTAAAGTGTTAGCGTTAAAAGGCCATAAAAAGAACAACTTAAGTGGTTTAAGTCCTAAGATCAAGTAGGCCATAAGGCAGATCTTCCTTAGCCTATCTAAGTAAGTCGTAGAATATAACACCGAGTATTTGAAAGCTTGTGATGTAGAGAATAACGGCTTGCTTCGTAGCTGGAAGAATTTCCTCAATTTGAAAAGTTTGAGTTTAAAAATTGAGTGTCCTTCGAAAATCGTTAAGTGTTGACATAGTCTCATAGGTAGCACAATCACTCGTCGATTTATTCGCCATATGGAAATACACGCATAATAAGTATTTCTTGTTATATTTTAGTATGTCAACACCCCCATATGTTGCCCCAGCCGTAGCACAATCTTGACAGGCAAATATGCTCACAATACAGGCGTAGTTAACAACTCAATAGCCGGCAACTGCTCCAGCAGATATTGGCAACGACACCAAGAGAAGCATTCGTTAGCAGCCAACTTGAAAGAAAACGAATATGTTACCTTCTACGCTGGAAAATATTTAAATGCGGTAATAAGCTAATAAAGGAAAGTAAATTGACAATCATAGCGTATCAGAAAACTCTGAAGTCCGTAAAAAACATAATAATATTTCTTACTCGAAGCAATTCTACTTCAATTCAGGGAGAGCTTCAAAACTTTGCAAAGCTGTGGAATAAACTCAGAAAATATCATTTGTCATGGGCGCCCATTAGAGGGGCATATGCCTCCCTAGCTCCAGCTTTACAAGAAAAATTTACCTAATGGGATTCTACTTTCTTAAGCAACGTGTAGCGTGTCTTTTTGGTTTTCAAAACAAACCTTGCTAGATTTGAATTGTGGAGATGTGCCGCCCCACTTTACCAGGCTCAGGCATATGGGAGAAAGAGATGTACATATTTAAAAAATATAGGCAATTCCACTGCAGTAACTGAAAAGAATGAAAAATCAATTCTGCTGTCAAGATGAATCTAAGGACACCTCAAATGTCAAAATACATCAAGCTGCTTGGGCTGTATCCGGTGATGAAATAGAAATATCAAAGATAGAGTTTGCACTTAAAATCAGCTGTAATTATTTTACAAAATATCAGTATATAGAATGTTACTCGTACTGTCGTATGATAAAATTTATCAAGCTGCTTAAGCTGTAGCGTGTGAAAGATGAGTTGAACATTTTTATCAAAGTCCTTCCTTTTTATAAAATTTTAATATACCCAGTACCACTTGCACTATCCAGCCAAATCTAGAAACACATCATATGTCATATACCATTAAGCCATTTAAGCCCCTCTTTACCAGGCTCAGGCATGTGGGAGGAAGAGATGTACATTTTTAAAAAATATAGGCAATTCGATTGCAGTAACTGAAAATAATGGAAAATCAATTATGCTGTCAAGACGAATCTAAGGACACCTCAAATGTCAAAATACATCAAGCTGCTTGGGCTTTATCCGGTCGTGAAATAGAAATATCAAAGATAAAGTTTGCGCTTAAAATCCGCTGTTCCTATTGTACAAAATTTCAGTATATAGAATGTTACTCGTTCTGTCGTATGATAAAATTCATCAAGCTGCTTAAGCTGTAGCGTGTGAAAGATGAGTTGAACATTTTTATCAAAATCCGGCCTTTTGATTTTATAAAACTTCAGTATACCCAGTACCACTGGCACTATCCAGCCAAATCTGGAAACACATCATACATACACCGTTAAGCAATTTAAGCTGTAGCTTGAACTTCAAAATTGAAATTTTCGATTAAAATTCGCCGTTTTGGTACACCTAGTGTCACTCGCACTGTCAAGACAAATCGAGAGAAATTAGGGTTGATATGTTTTTATTAAATTGATATTCAATAGCCGGTACATCCCCCATCCCCCGAGACTTCTGGGACCTCCAATGTTCCCCCTCTTAATTTTGCTATATGGGCGCCCATGCCGTTGGTAACAATTGGAAGAGATTGTTCAACAAAGATACAGTTATAAAGACAAACGACAGTAGCGATATATGCAGAGCAATAGGTAAATTGTTCACACTCCAGTAATGACATAGAAACTTGGTTATTTTGACCCCACAGAGGAAGAAAGAAGAAGAAGAAAATATGTGTTACGCCACTGACTTTTTGTTAAATATCTATAGCATTTATATTAGGACATTTAATTTTATTTATTTAATTTAACTCTCCTGAAATTGTTGCTTTTGAAAACGAGTTGGTTTGCCTTTATGATAGACATGTCACCAGTGTTTGTGAGGAAATGTAAATGTTATTGAATGAACTTTTATTGTTCTTTGAATCACCCGATATAGTTTTGGTCAGATAAACAAAGAACCATTAGAATTAATTTTTCATATGGATTTTAGACTTTTTTTATACCTACTAGATAAGGTGTGTATCAAAAATTTCGTACACGAGAGATATCGTTCAAAGCAACAATGTTGAATGTCTAACCTTATTAGCTTAAATACTCGTACCTTCTTAGCTATGTTTCCTATATCTTAATTACAGTATGGACATAAAGACGCTGGAGGTACGAAACACGTTCCAAAAGGATACGATTGGTGGATAGGACTAAAAGGAAATTCACGATACTACAATTACACTTTATCTCTGAATGGATCTGCAAAATTTTTCAAGGATGACTACTTAACAGATGTTCTGGTAAGCAGATCGGGTATAATATCGACCGGAGAAATATGTAATATAACAGGTTGAAATTTCATCTAACAATAAGCCCTATTGGCTGACGTGACTGTGACTTCAAGAGGAAAATACTTGTGGGTATTAAAACATACTTCTTTCGTCCATCCAACCAAAGACAGCCAACCATGGCTCACCAGCATGGTCTAGGCTTGGCCAATCGTCTCTCGATAGCGAACAAAAGCACAGCAACCATTCTCTATCCAGGAGGTACGTTCTATCGAAATGAGACAGCGCAACGTATATTGTTTATTTTTATACGTCTATAGAGCTTTTGCCTCAGAATGGCTACAGAAGCTTTCCATGACTATAATCACATAAAATAGAATACAGATCTACTTATAATTTGACGTATGCAACAAATTTCATCCTCTGTATGTTGAAAGCCTATAGTTTCCGAGATTGTTCAATTTTGTGATTATTCAACGCTCACCCGACTCAGGCGTAAATAATAAGAAACTATAAAACTCGATACCTCCACATAACACACGATCTGTGCTACCGAGTGCTTTCAAACACGCTCAGCTACGCGCTGCCAGAATACATCCGCTCAATTCCCATTCGGAAAATCGTCAGCTGAGCGGTTTAATCGCGGCTGGCTAGAGATGAGTGGATGTATTCTGGCATCACGTAGCTGAGCGAGTATGAGTGCACTTGGCGCCGTAGACTATTTGCTACGCGGAGGTTTTGAGCTATGACTATGCGCGACGATTCAACTGATTTTTGCTGTTTACACTTACATTAAGCTTATACAATTAACGTGCAAAAATAATACAAACAGCTATTCCGAAAAATGAAGTAGTGCCTATTTTCAGTTAGTCCTTAGAACAAAACTGCCTAGCCCTAAAATTTACTAGTACCTTCAACATACAAAATGCTAGAAAAAGTGACTCATATACCCAGCTTCCCAAAAAGGCGTAAAACATCGGAACCAAGGCAAATAAACAAATAAGCAATTAACCTGATTTAGGTCGAATAATGACGTATTTTTTAAATCAGACTACTTATAGGTATCTCATATGAAGTAGACATCAATTTTTCAAAAATCACTACGAACGTCTTAGTTGTGCATACAGTTTTTGACTCATTTCCTACAAACTAAAAGAATAGCTCCTGTATAATACATAAAAAGTTTCTTTATAAGCTCACAAATGAAGAAAATGTAGCGACTGGCAAGGTAAAGTTGATATTTCCGGTGCTGCTCATCAGCGGATCTACAAAACGTAATAAGACAATATGACTGTATCTATTCAAATCATTGCCAACTGTAGAATTTTCTACTTATAGGGAGCTATTAAGGAGCTACATATCCAAAATACGTATCACGGGCAAGTAAGTTCCCTAATACATAGTAGATAAGGCAGAATAAACTAGGACCTCTTTTATCACAAATGTAAAAACAGGATTTAGAAAGCAAGGGCATTCCCAGCTATGATGTTCGCTTTTATGACTTAAGTATCAACTACCAAAATCAATTGAATCTTCATGTGTTTGTTACAGAGTTTTGTTATTCTCTACAATCAAATCTTCTATTTCGAGTGATTGAAGAATCCGTAGAATTATTGATTTCAGACCATACATGTGAAGTTTGTTGCATTTTAGGGCCCCTATCACGTCTTGGAAGGTAAACGGCAAATCACCAGTGACCCTGTGTAAATAAGATGCCCTTGATTATATTTCAGACTAAATATGGAAAAGACTTTTTGAAGATGAGGCCTCGAGGAAATCCTTTTTTTATGATGCTTGCACCTCCAGCTTGCCATGCTCCTTTCACCCCGGCAAAAAGACATGAACATACTTTCAATGGCACCAAGGTTGTAAGGAATCCAGCTTTCAACTATACATCTTCAGGCGTGAGTATTTTTAGTGTTCTCAACGGTACTTTGCACCACTAGGGCCAAAAAGTGAGTGTATATTTACGTGAGAGGTAAGAGTATCAATAGATTATATTGAGTTTGGCTTGGCAGCTTTGGACTTCAGAAACATTTATCAGAATTAATACAAGTGATGAAAAAGATTTAGACTGCTAGAGCATGTAGCCCTTCCTGTTCTTGGAGGCATCAAAAGAAAAAGCGAATGTATCTTCTAATTCGCTACATCATGACAGTCTATCTTGTAGAAAGACGGTTTAAAATTCTCAAGAGAAGATACGAATGTCGAGTGACTATTGAAAGTGAAAACCTTTGAATTGTGGCAACTGTTGAACTTGTTGAACTCGTACAGAAAACTTATATTATACTTCAACTGATTGTTTTTGTTTGAACCTCTCATCAACAAAACACTGACTCCTCAATTCGGTACCATTGCTACTTAACTCCAAAGTAAAGCAATGGCGATTGTTAGATGAATTTAATACTCGTAATCTCCATCATTTCTGCTATGTACTAGCTATTATTTACTTGTAGCAGTTGATCGTATTGCCTAAACATCAAGTATGTGCTGTGGGTGTGATGCGTTTGACTTAATGTAACATTTGCTTCAGAGATTGCCCTAGCGGAGGCAATTCATAGCTTGACCTGACCTGACATCTATACATACCGAGCAGACCGTACGTTTTTAGCTCGTTTTCTCAAATAAAAGGGCCCTTGCAGAAGGAGCGCAAACCGAACTTTATCATATTAGTATATAATTGAAATTGTGAATAGAAATATAACTAATTATTGAAGGACGTTTGTGTTTTTAAAGATCAGCTGTAGAGTAATTCACCTCCCTTACCAGAGGGTTGTCTGCTCTTGTATATGTCCTAGTTGCAAGTTATACGATACATTCTCTGAAAGGGGGAATATTGAGATCTGAATGTGGCGTCTGATTTGGAACATACCATAGAGCTCCCGAGGTGGAGCGAAGAGTTCTATGTTGGATTACATCTGATGCATACGTGTGTATCTTAGCTAAAAAGCACCAAGCCGCACATGCATACGTCATGGTAGGCCTAATAATGGATTTGTATAAGAGTAATTTATCTGAGGTTGATAATCGACTGCTTCCTCTTAGCACGGGGGAAAGTTGTTTAAAAATCTTCACAGCCTTGTTTCGGGCAGATATAACATGGGGTTTCCAGGTTAATTTTCTGTCGAGTACTAACTCCAATCAAATACTCTCAACTGCCTAGGTGCAGAATGTCTAAGTATTGTTAAGAAAACATCTTGGGTTTTTGTGGAAACATTTATATTCCACATACAAACGTATTCCTATAGTTGCCACATCGCCTCCTGAAGGCGGTCTACAACCTCTTGGGCATGTATTATTGCCTTAACCACCAGAGCGGTGTCATCAGCGTAAAGGAACCCCTCTGTGTGGTCAAAACGAGGGATGCTCCTTAATGATGAAATATAACTATCGACTTTGATTCGAAATTTTCTGCCCTCCAAAAAGGATTTTAATAATTTATAATAAAATAGATAAAAAAACACATTTAGGTGAATAAGCTTATAGTAGATGAGACCCTGATGCCATACTTTGTCGAATGCTTTTGCGATATCTAACCACAGGACTCTGACCCCGAGTAAGTCCACAAGTGACCGTCTCAGCCTGTCTGACTGCCTGCAGATCAGTGGAGTGTTCTTTACGGAACTGTTCCTGTGGAAGGATTTTACCCTCTACAAGAAAATCCTTGCAATCGCTCAAGGATGTCTCTCTCAGCGAGCTTATTAGGTATAGATGATAAAATGATCGAGCGGTATTTTCGCGTATTTGCCGTCATCCTTTTCTTCGGTATCATTATTACATGTGCAAGCTTCCAGTCATGAGGAAGATATTGCAAGCGAAGGATATCATTCATAATTGTGAGCAGATAGACCCGAGGTCGCTCAGATAGAAGCTTAAGTGCTTTAACTGCAATCTGATCACTTCTAGGTGCCTTACGGACCTTAATGGCACAAGCGCCATAAGAGTGGAAAGTAGAATGTTATGAGGTATTGTTTGCCCAAGGCCCCTAAAATGTGAATCGACATATTGATCAAAACATTGTTCTCCATTGACGCCGATCTTGTTCTCATTTGGGAAGAATTGGCTCTCTATTACATCCCCAAAGACTTTGACCTTCTCCGCATCAAGGTAGAAAAAGTCATACATTCTATGGCCTAAGTTGAAAGTTCTAGCGGTTCAGGCATATGGCGGTCATTTTAAAATTACTGCATAGGTGGCATTCATCGCTAGTAGGCGTGGCATGGGCTATCCGACTAATTTGATGAGCCGGTGAAATCCGACAAATGTTTATTCGGGCTATGACACATGTTATTTCTTTCAAGTGGAAACGCATCCTCAGATAGATATTCTCCTAAAAATGAAAGGAGCTTAAACCACATGAAGATTCAGGAAATTTATGAATGTCGTGAATTCAAATGCTATACAGGTCGAAATAGTGAAATCCATATAACACTGACGTCTTACTGTGTACGAGAGAAGTGTGAGAAGCTTGTAATACTTGTGCTAGAAAGATATACAGGGTGTAAACGTTATGGTAGTCATTATTGAAATGGGTAATAGGGGGGGGGGGGCAAAACAAGTCTAAAAGTTCATACGACCCATGGTCCAAAAGTCAATAGATTTTTGTCTAAATGGCTTTATAGTTTACAATTTTACGTGCTTTATATCGACCACAATCACCACAATCTTACTAATTTTTGTAATCTAATCTAAAACGTTTTTAAATTGGGTAATCAACAAATAAATGACATTAAGTTTTTCTAAGTTAAGCCAGAATTTGTAGTCAGTAAATAAGTAATTTTCATTAAATTGAATATTTAAAACACACATGACAATAGCGCGTCGTTGTCACTCTTACCGAACCGGCAATCGATCGCAAACGGTAACAGTGGTTAGTTATCGGGCGTGTTTTGTTTTTGTTCGCGTACGTCGTCATGTTTGTTCAGAATGTTCTCGAATCAAGAGTTTGTCGACATGTTGTTAGTTTACGGTGAAGCTCGTCAGAATTCAAATCTTGCAGCCCAAATTTATCGCGACGGATTTCGCCAACGAGTACACCCAGACAGAAGGACATTTGTGCAAGTGTACCAAACAATTCGACATAGAGGAAGTGTTCAGCTCACTAATATTCGCACTCGTGAAAAACAGTTTACTGTAGAGCAGGAGGAACAAATTTTAAATATCGTGGAAATCAATGCAGATATCAGCACTCGGCAATTAGGCCGCCGTTTAGGACTATCGTGTACCATAGTCCATAGAATCCTACGGGAAAATTTGATTTATCCCTACCATGTACAACGAGTGCAGGCCTTGAAACACAACTTCTCGAAAAAAAATTTAATGCGGCTGTAATAATAAGTGGACAACTTGGAGGACATAGAGTAAGAAGAAACTGGGTTCGTCGTAATGAAGCTTGTGTGGAAAGTGGAGGACGACATTTTGAACACCGTTGAATACAAAAAAAGTGCAGTGTGGGTTTTAAAAAGAAAAACAATGCATGTATCAAAATTGTGTTCCCTATTTATAAGTGGATTTTTCTAATACGTTCAATATACTTTCACACACCAGGTGAAGTGCTGAGACAGTAAGTGGTAAGTCCGTTTTTTTAATTGTTTGCATTGTCAAATAATGAAATAATACCTAAGAGCAAAAATAACAAACTCCATCTTTATTTACACTGCGTTCCGTCGTAATTTGCGTCTGGCATTGCGGCGTTGGAAGATTTTATTTTACTTTAAAGTCCATTTTCTCTAAAAAAATGCTGTTTTGACCCCCATGTTATATGAAACTTTTTGTTACTTTTAACCCCCTCTATCACCCATTTAAATAATGACCATCATAACGTTTACACCCTATATAAGCATCTCGTTGCCAAGCAACCCTAGTTATCACCCTTTCTAATAGGCCCCATACACCTGCGAACAAATTGCGCAACGGAGCCTGTTGTACCAACAATTGTGTAGTGTATGGGGTTGTTTGACGTGCTGCGCAACAGGTTGCAGAAATTCAAAATAGTTTGATTTTTATTGCACAACCAGCGGCGTTGCGCAACTAGTTGCAGAGTATATGGGCTATTCTGCAGACACGTTGTGCAATAACTGATTGTTTGTCCGAGTTCCACGTGCTTAGTTTTGAAAATGAGCGGTTGTTTTGGAAATAACAAAGAATTTTTAAGCGATTTTATTGATTTATATCGTCAGTTACCGGCAGTATGGAAGGTGAAGAGCGATCTCTACAAGAATAGAAATATGAAGAATTTGGCTTATGAAAAACTAGTTGAAAAACTTAAAGAAGTCGAACCTAATGCCGACAGAGAGATGGTGCGGAAGAAAATTAATGTTTTACGCAGTGCCTATCGGAGAGAATTAAAAAAAGTAATTGCAAGTTATAAATCAGGGACAGGAACTGAAAGTATTTACGAACCAAGCTTATGGTACTTCAAGGAATTAGATTTCTTGAGGGATCAAGAAACCCAAGTACCTGGAACCTCTACCATGAATGACCCATTTTATGAGATTGATAATGAAGACGCAGTAAGTAAACAATTTATATTTTAATTCTGTATTCATAGGAGTATCGGTAAAAAACTAGTTAACATTATTAATTTACAATTATTGCTGAAATATCTTGTTCTGCCATGGAACAGCTCCAACAGTATTAAAATAATTACAAAACTGTGTTCTTATTTGTTTTGCTACAGTGGTAGTGTTTCTTCCTCGGAGTGCCTGTAGTTGTAATAATGTAGGGTCTGCTCTCCAATCAGCATTTGCAACCTCTCCACTATTTATGTTTTCAACATCTATGCCACCTTGATAATACGACTCTACTTTGTAATGTCGCAAGAAGTTGTGCAAGTGGCAGCATGTCAGTACTATGATGACAGCTTTTTCTGGACATAGGTTAATTTCATTTAACAGAATTCTGAAGCGAGAAGCTAGTATCCCGAACGCATTTTCAATGATTCGGCGGCTACGTGACACCTTGTAGTTATAAATCATTTCTTCGTTGCTGAGGGTTTTCTTGCTAAATGGTTTCATCAAATTTTCCATAAGTGGAAAAGCATCATCCCTACAAAAACATAGGGCAATTTGATATTAGTCGATGTTAAATTTTCTGGTTCAGGAATGCACAGATCTTTTTCTACAAGTTTTTTACAGAATGCTGTATTGGAAAAAACCCCTCCATCAGAGACTCGTCCATTTGCTCCCACATCAACCATCAAAAATTCATAATTTGCATTTACGATTCCCATTAGAACAATGCTAAACGAATATTTGTAATTAAAGTAATATGAACCAGTTCCAGGTGGCTTAAATATTTTCACATGTTTGCCGTCTATCGCCCCAAGACAATGAGGAAAATTCCACTTCCTCGCAAAAGCTTCAGCCTCATTTCTCCATTCATTTTCACTTTGTGGTAGCTGAAAAGAAAACATGGTGTTATTTTTATAATTGTATTTTTAGAAGTTTGCATGGTGTTATTTGTTGGTATTATTTTTATAATTATTTTTGTAATTTTAAATGTCTGCATGCTATATCTCTTTTATTTGTTGCAGGATTCTTCCCAAGACAGAAGTAGTCAAGGACCCAATACACCTCCAGGAAGGCATGCAGCTCCAGAATCGCCCACACCACCAGAAACAGATACAGCCGCAGATACATATACACTTTCAGAAATGGATGTACCGGTTACTCCTATACAACGTAGAGCTAACAAACGAAAAGGATCAACTGAATTTGAGGAATCACAAACACGGAATGAACTATTGAAGATGGCTTGCGAACATCTTCGCACTTCTAACAAGGAAGTGGAGATTTTGGCAAAAAGTTGGGCATTAGAGTTCATGAAGCTCTCATCAGATCAGCAAATTTATGCTAAAAAAGCCATAAATGATGTTTTATATGAAGGGCGCTTGGGAACTTTACATAGACATTCAGTTGTTATAAATGAACCCCCTGTACGTACCCCCCTTGAAATTTCATCCTGCCAATCATTCTCGTCACATTCAAATTCTGTCCCATCATTCCCGTCTCCAAACCCAGTACAGGTAACTGATGATACTACACAACTACAATATACGGTAATAGGAGAACTACTCACTGACCCACAATATAACTAAGGATATAGTAGTAGTATATAGTATGTTAATCTAAGTTTCTGGTTTATGTTAAAAAGAATAATAAAGTAATACATTTATTACCTTTAAATATTTCTTCAAAACCTTTATGATTGCTTCACAGGTCTCGATGATAATATGTCCAAGGGTTTGAGCAGCAATCGCAGTTTCAAATTTTAAACCCTCAAATGTTAGTCCAGATGCAAGATATCTTAGAGTAGCAAACAATCTCTGCTTGGGAGATATCGCCTCTCTCAATATTGTGTCTTTTTTTTGTATATATGGTGTTACCAGAGCCAATAATTCGCCGAAAGTAGTGGAATTCATTCGTAAATAATTTTTATAATCTAAAGGTGAACTCACTTGAAGTTCTTTAAGGAGATTTGCGTGACTAAAAAGAGATCTTTTCTTTAACCACTCTTTCATCCAAACTCTCTGCTTCCGTTTTCTTTTATTAACGCCAACATCACAGGCTGCAGCAATTATTATAGCTAGACAGGCTGCGTCATTAGACGGCATGTTGAGGTGCATGAGTACAACTCACAACTGAAGTTTGCATAAAATTGCATAGTAAATTGCATAGTGTGTGGATCACCTTGTTTGTACAACCACTTTTTGTGCAACATCCGTTTGCGCAATTTGTTCGCAGGTGTATGGGGCCTATAACATACATATTACGCGCCTATCGCGCTCCTCTCTCGTACACATTACGACGCCATCCAAATATTTACCTCACCGTAGATACAATAATCAGAGTGTTAAGTGGAAATGTACACTACAATATCCGTTTTAAAACTACCTAATCATGACAAGAAATCAAACACTGCTGCTCCTCCTCCTCGAAGGTGTCATCTGATGTTTATCAATCTTATGACATAATCATTCGATGCTGCATGCAATAAGGTGGACCATCCTTTGTAGTCCACTCTTTAATTTATGCGGAGCTATGATTTCTTCTTTCTTTCATTTCCTCGGTTTCTTTCTATCTTCTCTGGACCATAACATGCAGGATTTCGTAATCTTTTGGCTTATCAGCTGTCCCAGATATGCCTTGGTATGGAAGTTAAATTACTGCTACCGAAACACTTGTTTTTAAAAAACTTTATTTCGATTAACGGTACAAAAGGACTTTTGTGAAACCTTGTCACGACGATGCGTAAAACAGGACGGTTAGACAAGAAGTGACGATTTCCTCACACATGGATTTAGTACAATGCAACAGAAATGCTGATACAGAGGATGTTAACATGTGACCTTCAAGGCGCGATATAAGATTCCATAGCGTAGCGACAATGCTAGCAAGAAATACAAGTACCCAGATAGTAATTATAATATTATATAAAATACAGGGTGATGATGGATATAACTTGGATTTTGATAGTGACTGTTACATGGGACGTACATTCATCCATTTGAAGAACACTCAGTCGTTATTCCACTTGTAAAAATGTTTGGAAGTGGTCTATATTTTCACTCTTCAATATCTGCCTCGCATAACTGCCACACAAATACTGACCAAATATCAGGCTACTTGGAACATGTCTCATCAATATTCCATGTATTTTGATTTCTTTTCTCTTACCTGATCTGCTGATAACCTCTATTCCCAGATACCGGTAGTAATGGTCCGTGTCACTTTTGGTGACTTCGTTTATATATGTTGGACATTTCTGTACTTAATTTCCTGCTAAAAATGACAGTTTGATGCTTTTGTCCATTGACAGCTTTTACTGATTCATAAGTGTTGGTAGCTCTTCGTTCGTTTCAGCAAGTATCGCGGCATCATATCTGCATATCTGAAGTTTTTAAGTGGTTAATTTAAGTTAAAATTGAGTTGTTGAAGTAACTTTTTGGAAATTCCATGTTTTTAAAAATTTACCGAATCGACTATATTTAGTCTAGTTTAGAAACTTAGAAAGGCGTCTATAATTCCGCATGTCATAGATCTCAAAGAATTGTATCCTGTACATCTACGAAAAGTAATGGGTTTTAGAAGCACTGGTTAGTGAGGATGCAGCCACAACAACTACCACAGAATGTTAGCATCTTGGACGATATTCAAAGACACAGGCTCCAGTCCCTGCTGGCAGTCGATGAAATGGTGAAGACAATAGTTGAAGAAGTAGAATCAGCTGGAGAAATTAACAATACGTATTTTATATTTACCTCTGATCATGGATTTCATATAGGTGCGTATTTCAACCATTGTAATATTAATTGCATGATAGGTGGTATTTCAAAGAGCTAAATAAAATATCATGTTGGTTAATTATTTGATACCAAGAAGAACAATGGTCGCAATAGTTATAAGCTTCTGTTTAAATACAAAGTTGTTGCTTACAGACTTGCATTAGGTTACTAGACAAGGACGCCTGGGTTAGAAGGTTGGCTTGGTTCTTTTATACGTAGGTTGACATAATATAAAATTTAAGATTCAGGAGTATATGAAATTACCGAACCTTTTCATTGGATAACATCCAGGAAAAACAGATTGTACTATAAAAATCAGTAATTGTGAGTCCTTCTGATGATGAAATCAAACGATGTTCCAAGTTTTCTGATGTCTGACCTCTTCAGGACACAGACAAGAATATTTTTAAGGGGCCTGATATTTTGGAACCCGCCGCGACCCAAGTAATTCCACTTCTCTAGGACTCTCTGAACAGTATTTATTTTGTGTTGTATTATGTAACCATCTCTGTTTCGCGTACTTTCTTCCCTGAAATTCTGTCATTGATTTCGGTATCACCCTGTATCTTTCCTACTGGGGGTACCACCATCGCTGTTAGCGCGATTTCTTACATTGTCTGTAGTGGGTGATTAAAAAAACAATGCGAACCTTTCGAGAAAATACACTCAAAAGTAACATAGAAAATTCGTATAAGCATAGATCCTAAGATGGACACAATTGTACAGGGTGTTGAAAAATTATATGCCACTGGAATCTCATTCTCATTCTCCAGATAGAATATGAATATTCGTCAAATAAAGCTGTCGCGAGGTGAGAGTACTCCCATTTAGAACTCCGTCTAATTTTCAACGTCAAAATTCACAAACTCCAGAATATTTTCATGGTAATACGGATTTGATTTTTTTTGTGCTGATAATATCTCATATACTTAACCCAATTATTCTCCATAAGGAATAGTCTGAAAGACAATTCATTCGTAGAAATTATATTATATGAAAATGCAATGACTGTATTAGAAGAGGTGGTAGGGTAGAAAAATAATGTCTTGCTCTTGTATGCGCGAAAAAAATATCGCCGTTTATTCCACTTTCGTACATAGAGTCGTAATTATTTCAACTACCATGCCTACTAGTAGTCTAACCATATTAGCAAATTTCTCTGAAATAATTGTAAAGTCTGGTTTTATTGGTGCAAGTTGTTCAAGGGGATATTCAAAACATGAACGCATAAAATGGCTACACCAATTTTTGTGGGAAAACTTTTTATTTGACAACAAAAAATGAGAAAACGTATTTTTTGGGATTCAATCGAAAGTGATATAAGATTTTTAGGTATTTATGAGACCTACCAAATGATACTACACGTTAAAAGATTCGATTAATAGCAAAAATGTTATGGCCGAAAAACGAGGCAAAATACAGGTTTTGGCACTTGTTGATAATGCGACGATAATTTCACGCAAAATTCTTCAAATCTGCAAGCTTCGTACTTCTTAATAACATCAACTAAATTCGATTACATTGGTCAAGTATTTTTTTTGAGAAGTTACTAATTGTTTATCCAAATACACCTGTTTTCCAGCTATTACTACTAGTTTATTGAGCAATATATAGGGTTCGTTCAAAGAGCATCAAATAGCAAAATACACGTGTTTACCTTGCCGATATAAATCGCAAACCATTCTGAAAGATAAATGTTCTTTTTATGCGGAAAATGAAGATTACGTTTTTTTTTTCTGAGCAAATTCAAACATTTCGTATTTGTGAGTAATTGAACAAGTGCGCTACGATATTCGATAAACATACGTTACTATACAAGTTTTAAAACAAAGCGTATCTGTCTATCATCTTTTGTTGCGAATTACTCACAAATACGACATGTTTGAATTTGTTTAGAAGAAAAAACGCAACCCATCCTTTTTTGCATACAAATAACATTTTTCTTCCGGAATAGTTTGGGATTTATATCGGCAAGGTAAACAAATGTATTTTGCTATGAAATGCCCTTTGAACTAATCCTGCATATTGCTCAATAAACTAGTAGTAATGGCCGGAAAACAGGTGTTTTTGGATGAATAATTAGCAATTCTCAAAAACTACTTGACCAATCTACTCCAATTTTGTTGTGGTTATTTAGAAGTGAGAATCCTAGGAATTTGAATGATTTCGAAAATCTGCGAAAAACCATCGTTGCACTACCAACAAGTGCCAAGACCTACATTTTGCCTCGGTTTTCGGCCATCACTTTTTTGTTATTAGTTGGGTCTTTTCACGTGTAGTCTCGTAAATAGCTAAAAATCTTATATTAAGAGTTTTTTCGTTTCTGCCAACACTTTCGATTGAATCCCAAGAAACCCTTTCTCATTCTTTGTTGTCGAATAGAACGTTTTTCCACAAAAATTGGTGTACCCATTTTGATGCGTCCATGTTTTGAATACTCCCTTGAACAACTGGCAGCAATAAAACCAGACTTAGAATTATATATATATATATATATATATATATATATATATATATATATATATATATATATATATATTTAACCAGTGGTATTTTCGTCTAATATGATTATACTATAGCAAGGAAGTATAGTAATAGCGAAATTTTTTGAAAATAAGTGAATACGGTGTTTGGATGTTACATCACGAAAAACCCTGTCACTCATTTCTATCGGTCTCTTTGTATGTTAGACCGCTAATCCTTGATCCGTCTATAACTGGGAAACTACCGCTAGGTTTTGAATGAAAATTTTACGAAAATATACTACTATTCCCAGGACAATAAAGCTGGTCATTAAAAATTGGTCCAGTGGTGGAGAAGCTACTTCAGAGGCTCCAGTTCATTTTCGGAAAAACTTTTGTAGATATAAACATTGGGGAGTAGGCTGTAGGGCATGGGAGAATGAATATATCAGTATTATGATACTTATACCCCTCAAACTCCGGTAATTCTACGCACCTACCAAGAGGTCTGCTAAGTCTGTTAAATCATGAGACTGGCAACCATGGAGGCTTCGGTGTCAGAGGGTAGATAGGAGACCATGTGTTCTGTCGTCTGTGCAATTTTAAACTCGCTCGAGTCATATGGTTGTCCGTGGCGATTTTTATTTGTGAACAGTTTTTTATATTGTGTTTTCAAAATGAAGGACAGCAGTTTCGAATAACGGTGTGCTATCATGTCATGCTTCAGATGTGGGCATAGTGAAACGGAAAAAAACAGTATTTTGTCCTGAGCACAGGTTTTCCGTGGTTTAAGGCATTTTCAGAAGGGAGAGAGACGATTGAACATGAACCATGCAGAGGACGGCCTTCATCTTCAAGAACTGATGACAGTATTGACAGAATCCGAGATTTTGTCCGTTCAGATGGTCGGATGACAGTGAGAATGATCATGGAAGAGTTAATTTTGGTTCACATGACCAGATCAAGAAGAACTGGGTACTGCATCACGATGATGCTCCATGTCACACACCAATGTCAATAAACGAGTTTTTGGCCAGTAAAACCATTCCTATGGCTTTTCAGCCTCCTTATTCGTCACTTAGGTCCTTATGACTTTTCTCTTTTCCCGAAGTTGGAAAACCACCTCAAGGGGACTCAATCTGAGTCAGTCGAAAACCTTCAAATGGCTGTAACCGACCAGCTGAAGGCTATTCCAGTATCCAAGTTCCGACACTGCTACATGAGGAGTGGAAAAACCGTCTTCAGCGCTGTGTAGCTTCAGAAGGAAGATACTATTATTTTTAAGGGTCACAATATAAAATTGTAATTAAATTTGAATAAAAAGGTCAAAAATTGTCAGTATTATCATTAAATTTACAGATCTCGTATTTCACTCACCATGGATTTAGCCTTCTTTTTCTCTTTCCATGCGGGATTGGTCATACCAACGATCATAGGTGCTCCCAGGAATTGCCCTTAGGAGGGAGGGAGGGTCATTCGTCGGCAAGAGATAACTTTGTGTACATGTGTGCGTGCACAGAAGTATGCTCAATATGCAAATTTTTATTGTATGCACCCGTTCGACTGACTCTATTCATTTAGTTTTTTGTTATACGTGTTCGTAGCTAACTTTTTGCTTAGAAGGGCTAACTTGTGCCGAACATTGTACCTTTCCTGATGACAGAGTTGCGTTGAAAGGACAGTGTCAACTTACCTGACGCCATTTTGTGTAATGAATATGATATTATTTCTGCATGTACAAGGTGTAAAGTAAGTTTAAATACCTTTATCCACTCCAGATGTATAATTTTTGCATGATTTGGAATTTTAATCTCATTATCATGTATCTCCACAAGGAGACATTTTAGGACTGATGTTTATATGATCTTTTCTTGTTATTCTTCGACCTAATTTCTGTCTCGAAATAGTGATGGTCACTCGAAGTGCTCGAACTTGAGATGTTTTTGAACTGGTAAATGTCCATCTTATCGATTATCGAGTTTTGTCTCTCATGCAGAGGATGTGTTAGTAAAAATGTTGAACGAAGGTATTTATATATGTGCAACATATGAAAGAATCAAGCCAACTTTCATTGGCATATTTTGACGAAGTCTCCCTAGTGGCCAGTCTATTAGTTTCTCAATAACCAAGCATCGTTACCTTGAACCCCATCAAACACATATTTTAGGCCAATTTTCTCTACCATGGGACAAAAGGCAGCCTTATGAAACAGATATAAGAGTTCCATTTCTAATCAGCGGCCCAAGCATCCCTCATAACACCACTGATGACTATCCGATATCTGCAGTTGATTTGGTTCCTACAATCCTTGATCTAGCTGGTACGGAAATACCAAACCATGCAGATGGTGTAAGCTTCAAACAAAGATTGTTGGAAATTGGGGACGAGGCACAATCATACGAAAAGCTGATTTTAGTTGAGTATTGGGGTGAGGGAAATAAAAAATCAATAGATGACAGGTGTCCATGGAAAGAAGATGGAAATCTTGCGGTAAGAGCACTGGTCATTATCTAACATTCACATTCACTCGTATCTATAAATTTCTCGTAGGCTGCTGTTAAAGCAACGTTGGTTTCTATCATGGCGGCACGTAGGAGCTTTGCCTCCATGTGAATAGTCACTAATTACTAGCACTTTTGTCAGTCCCTTGACCAAAGTCAGAGGAAAAAGAGAAAATAGGAAGGGAAGAACAAGAAGAGCACAAGAAAATAAATGTGACTGTTTTAAGAGCAATGGCGAATCATATGAGTTGCAAGCTACATAATAACGCTTCTGCCGTTGAAGATTGCCTCGTTGTTATTAGAGTTGACCCATTACTATGCATTGTTTTGATTAACGAAATATATATATATATATATATATATATATATATATATATATAAATAAAGTCAAAATCCGTGCTTTACTAGTCTAACTTGACTGAATTTATGCAAATATTAAATTGTAACCGAACTCAGAAGGGGGAGGGGCTCGACCCGCTTGGCTTCTTCCTTGGTCAAGTGGCATTTTTTAAAAGTACTTAAAACACCTTCTACTATGGAAAAAGATAGGCTATCCTAACAGGTTCTTATGCAATTTTTTTTCTTAAAAGCATTACAGAAATAATGTTCTCTGAATATCTTTTTGATAGAGGCATCCTGACTAAACCGTCGACTAGTAAGATCCCGAACCATCATCATTGATTAACGTATTCAACCTTACGTAGCTAAGTTGTATTCCCGCATCCATGAAATTGTTATCAGGGATGAAATGAGATACCGTAAGCGCGATGTATGAGAATTATTCACAGCTATGTTTCACCTCTATGAACTAATTAGGAATTTGTTTTGCCAAGGTTAGCGAAGCACAGATAGCACTGTGGCCAACTGAGTTGGTTAACTTTAGGTAGACTGCGTAAACATCAATCGTTCTCAAGCTTCTGCTCAGCTAATGTCGATGGACAAAATAGGGTTTCCTATTTAGATACTCCCCTGCTCGGACTATTAGCAATAATGAATCTCCTTTTTGGATTTGATATTTCAATTTATTCCTGTCGTTTTAAAATACCCTCATTATTCTTCCAAAAAATATCCGCCACTGGGCGAGGAAGTAATGTAATCTAAAAAAAAAAAACAAAATCAGCTATTTGTTTTTTGGATGTTATATAACAGGTACATTACGAAAAACCATTTACTCATTTCCGTCGGTCTGTAGGTCTGCCTGTCTGTCGGTTTGTCGGTCTGTCTGCCTGTCGGTCTATCTGTCTGTTAGTCTATAGTCCGCTAATTCTTGGCCAGTTTATACCTTGAGAAGAACAGCTCGGATACGGTGAAATTTTTACACAAGATTGCTATTATGCCAAGGACGGAAACTTTTGAAAATCGATCCAGTGGCGGTGAAAAAAGCCAAAAACGAAAAAAATAAAAATTGTAAATTTAAGTAGCGATTGAATATTTATTTATACTTCCCTAATATCATTAATACTATGCACATCTTGGTCATATTTCATACATCATACGAGTATACGAGTAGATCTCCCTATACATTTGCCTTTAAAACTTGATAGAATATTTTTTTCGATCCACGTACTATCTAAACTATCTAAGCTCACCGCCCGGCGAACTGGTCTGGCTGACTAACCTATCCGTGCCTTAATGCAAAGTAGCATATATGCACGGACCATGCACGAAATAAAAGATAACAGGTTGCAGCGATGCCGTGCAAAAGTGGACATGGACAACGTTTCCAGATGGATAGTAGATACCGCTAGGGCAGGCAAAGAATGTCTATGGAGTAATTATACGAGCATGTTTGACTGACATAATCCGTTCAATTTCTCTGTTGTACATGTTTAAAGCTGACTTTTGTCTCGGAGGATTAAAATTTCACCGAGTTTAATCCTTTATGAACTGATGACGGCGATACGTTGGAAGTGCAGGGTCAACCTACTTGATGTCATTTTTCAAATTCAGATCTGGTTCCTGTTTGATGTTTTGAATCGCATTTGACATAGACAGTGGAAATCCGTACTTCCATTAAAAAACGTTGTTAATTTTCCCATTGCTATTATATCTATTTCCAGGAATGCAGCAAAAACGCATGGTGTAAATGTCAAGATGCCAGGAACAATACATACATCTGCGTTTTACAATTTTCGTACTCTTCGAGACTCAAGTTCTGTTCCTTCGATGATAATCAGGTAAATGTTGCTATTTTTGTTCACTCTACCAGAATCTCATCAAAACTCTGAGCTAACATTAGTCAGCAGCGTAGCTCTCGAAACATAATGTTACTATAAGCCTAATCAAATTCAATGCACTTTTCAGTCCTTTGTCGAGCTGTATGATCTGGAAAGTGATCCCTACGAACTCGATAACCTTATCAGTACTATAACGAAACACAAGATCAGGGATCATCACAAGATACTACACAAATTTAGGAAATGTAGAGGCAAGAGGTGTCATGGTATTGCTCACAATCTGTAAAGGCCAAAGACTTGTACTGAAAAACGATTTATGCAATACACTATTAGAGCAATACACAATCGACCAAAAATACTATAGAATAAACGTCACAAGTTCAGCCAATAGAGAGGTTTCTTCATCAGTTTTCTGATTTACAGTTTTAATCCTGATTTTTCTATTGCCCGGCGTGAATCACAATTTGCAACTATGGCACAAATTGGTCCAATAAGAAGGCGTTCTTGATGTGATGAATCTGCTCGATTTCTTGCAGAATATCTTTCAAACTAGAGAAAAATTACACGAGTCGTGCAAAATGGGATCCTAATTCTCATATTAGATCAAGAAATACTTCATATGTATCATGATTTAGCTAAAAACCTATTTTTCATTTGTGTTTGGACACAAAAGTTGAGGCAAATTACAATAAATTAAAGACGATTTGTGGCATACTGGTAACATGGATCAAACTTGATACCATAGATTGACCTGGCCCCATTACTGAGCATTTTATTAAAAACAACAGTGTCTCACTGTTGCTGCATAAAAGTCAGCCTGTAAATTCCTCCTATACGTAAACAACAATTAGCAACATCCTCACATACTACTGTAAGTTGAGTCAATTTAAATTCATTTTACACCTTTGTTGCTACTGTTATCATTGTAATTGCAGCTCCTGATGATGATGGCAAAGTCCATTGAAAGCTAGAGAGAATTAAAAAAAGTATATATATATATATATATATATATATATTTATGCAGTACAGAGTTAGCATCAGATTTATACCCGTATTACTGTGTGCTTATTAGATTTGTCAGTTTAATTTCGTAGAACTCAAAATGTCTGATACGGATACAGCTGATGAAGTTGTTGATATTAGCTGCACACCGCCTAAAAAAAGAGCTAAAAGGCTTCATTTTAGCGTTAGCGAAAAACAAATCATTCTCAACATTTATAAACACGAAATGCACGGAAGCAGTGACTCAAGTGTTCAGGACATTGTTTGCAAAGTAGCAAGTATTTCGGGCGTTAGTCGTGCAAGTGTTTACCGAATTGTTCGGGAATACAGATCTAACCATTCACTGGTCGACCCAAAAAATTATCCGCCGAGAAAAAAAATCAACGATGCCATAGACGACTTCGACAGAATCGCCATAAGGAGAATTGTACATAATTTAAAGAGGATAATGACTCGCCAAGGTTCAAGAGATCTACCTTCTAATTATTCAAAGAAATGGGGTTCCAATACAAAAGCGGGAAAAAAGACGAAACAGTTATCTGGAGAAGGAACTATCTAAGTCAAATGAGAAAATTTCACGCAGAAGATAGGAAAATATACTACCAAGATGAAACATGGGTGAATGCAGAACATGCACTGGCAAAGGTTTGGATGGATTCTTCCATGAAATCTTCAAAGCAAGCGTTCTTGAATGGACTATCCACTGGATTAAAAAATCCCTTAGGTAATATTTCAAAGCACATATGTACTTATTTCTGGTATGATTGCGTTGCCTGATACCTACATAGTTCTTAATACTTGTAAGATGAGGAGTTTCAACTAAAATCATATTTTTTTTGTACATGCTTATACTATATCGAGATAAAAAATCAAGTAGGTACTCATTTTGTTGGGTTTTTAATAATGATTTCAATGGGAGCGGTTTTTAGGTGTTCAAGATGAATAATTTTCAGGAAAAAGGGGATTGATAATTTGCCACATCGGTAATGAAGATGGATTTGTGTCCGATGCTTTATGAGCATTTGAATCCAAAAAACGGAAGACTACCATGAAGAAATAGTTGGAGCCTCGTTCGAAAATTGGTTCTCAAATACTCTATCGAAGCTTGAAGATAGTTCGGTTATAGTATCTTCGAAGTTGAGTCATTTATTTTAACAGTGAGTAGATCTGATCAAAAGAAATGTTTTTTTCCTTTAACATTTTTCTGGTAAAATTAAAGTAACAAAGTTATAGCCCTTTAGAGGTTTGAGTACCGCCCTGTCTCAATAAAAATATTATGTGCTCGTGTTTGGCAACAACGGATATAATCCGCCTTATCGGTTCATCGCATCGGAAACAAAAAAGCGAAAGAATTTGAAACGCTGATCACGATGTTTTTATTCAGTCAGTGTGTCAGTCGGTAACGCGTGAGTGAATAGTGGTGTTTGCTGCGTGGCTCAAACGAAACAAAAAATGGCACATGTTTATGCGGATCGGTTTCCCAATCGAGTGCAACCAACCCCTCGTGCCTTTGTTAATGTAGTACAACGGGCTCGTGAATCAGGTGACTTAAGACCTCACAGGGGAGGGCATGCCGGTGCTCCAAGACCTCACGATCAAATACAGGTCCGCACTGAAATACTTGTCGGGAGGATACTTTATAAAACAAGGTAAAAATTTTTTTTATTTATTTTTATTTTTACACACATATTTTGGTTTATCTTCCTTCTACAATCATTATCTGAAAATTAATGACTCAACTTCAAAATCACCCTGTATAATGCTTCATACCACACGAGAAGATTCCAACAACGTCAACAAAAAAATCAGGGATGGATTAAAAATAAAAAAGATTGGTTATGATGACACAATGGTTAAGGCAGAATTGTTACAAATTTTCAAATGACCAAAAAACAAAATAAAACTATTTTACGATTTCCTCCTCACCATTTCCTCCGATTGAGCTCATTTGGGCAACAGAAAATAAAAGTTTTAAATTTTCATGATGCTATACAAAGAATAACACCGAATAAGTGGGAAAAATGTATTCAGCATGTAAAAGAAAAGGTCGATCCTAAAATGTGGGAATTAGACAGTATCACTGATACGCACGTTGCCCCTTTAATTTTAAATCATATTATGCCTGTTTACAACACCTATGCTGTTGAAAGTTGCCTCATCGCTAAAAAGAACCTTACCCGGGAAAGCACTTATTTTATTTAGCATTATTCTACTAAACTCCATTCAAGCTGCGAAATCCTGAGGACGAAGGCCTTGATGCTAGCATAGGTGATACGGATGGTACCTATGCTTGTGAATAATCCTTGGACAGAAGTTATGCATATCTCAGTTTCTGCTTCAATTTGCCGTGCACTTAAATGGGGGATTTCCCTGCAACTTCAATAGAACCTCCAACTGATTCGCCTCATTGGTGACACTTGGACTATCTATACATTTTTTTTACTATATTCTACTGCTCCACTTGATTGAAAACGTTCTCGTAGTGTGGAAAAAGGTTTCCGGCCTTGGATGTCGCATATTAGGATACCGTTGCTTATACATGCGAGATGCTAGGAAACTATTTCTTTGGGCTTCGCACAAAACGAACACCATATTCACCATTTCTTCTTTAGAAAAATTCATTTTCAAACACATTTTTATTATAATGCTCACAAAGCTAATTTGGACAGTTTGTAACTAATCAACAATTTATTTGTTTCCAAGCATGATGCGATATTTTAGGGAATTAAGCCTTTCCATAAAAGACGTGCTAATAACCGAATAAATAGCCTTATAAGCCCTTATGTGACAAGTATCACCAAAAGCTTATAAAAACTGAATCCAGACTTGCAGAAATATAGAGGGCGATGCATTTGAAATTTTTGCAAAAAACTAAAATTTGCGTTTTTGATCACCCTGCAGGAGCAAAAATCAAAATTCGAAAAAGGAGCAAATAATATAAAACCTGAGGTGGGTAAGTTTGTTTTGATACAAAATTCGGCACCCCAAATTTTAAAATAGCGGACTGAGGGTGGCGGATTTTTCTAGACAAAACACCTTGTATCTCAGTAGCTAACTACCAAATACCCATAGTATGATATATCTTTTTCTTTTTTTGAATTGGCTCATCCAAATATGCAATAAGATTTGAGGCATTCTGTTTGAAAAATCACAACTTTGATATGTAGGTCGAAATTGGGACACCCTGTGTAATGGCCAATACTTTTGAAATGCGCCCTCAAGTGTCATGTATAACAACCATAAAAAGATTTTCCCAAAATGTATCTGTTTATGAGTAATATTTCGTCCACTCATGGATGGGCCACCCTGTATAAGATAAAAAATCATTACCGGATAAAATATATAAGTATTTTTCCGCACTCGCAGTTTCATCCAAAATATTTATGTTAAGGTCACATTGTTATTTAAAAAATTGTCTATGTTTCTTATAAATGCATGAGGATCTGAGCATGGTGGGCGATAGTCACAAGTAATTTTGATTTTGTAATTTTAAATGTCATAGCTATAATGAGGATTATTTCTCCCATACACTATCACTCCATAACTATAGTTACCAAAGTTGTACAGTGTAGTTATCCTTCCAGTTTAGAAAGACAAGTCACTCACTCGCCATGTCTCAGATAAAATGATTACGTCAATATCGTCTTGTATTGTAAATAAAATGATGTAAACAAATTGTTAATTTTATATTTACAGGTATACATACATATGTACAGGATCAGTTAATACGTAATTTAGTGTTTGGATGGCTAGAAGGCAAACATTATAGGTCAGCTTTGCTTTGACATTATGAATAAATACTATTGCCAAAGGCGATGTAAAATAAGTGAAAGGTATCCGCAATTCACGTTTGACTGTTTTTCTGTTCTGTAACCTTTCCTTCTAGATTCACTTTCACAGAAAGATGAATTACAAAAATCTATCATATTTATTATTAGCCTACTTACTTTTATTAAAATATTTGCATAAAAAATGTGCTTATTATTTTATTTCGTTTCTTACATCGATTTGTGTTTGGCTCATACCAGTATATTAACACATGCCACGTACTCTATAACATAAATACAAAGTCGATAGAATACATTCAATGCGGGGTTCGGAATATGAAGAATATAAATGTCCGTGGAAGTTGGCACAAATATGTTTATTGAAACAAAATATTGTCTAACCTAGTTCCATGCGCTATTTTGCCGACATCGCCAGAAGAGAATTTTGGAAAAGGTTTGCGCCTTCTCAGTATAAAAAGTAGTCCACTCCAACTAAAACGTGACATTAGCCTGGTAGTATTTAGTGTTCTTAAATGAGACAGTTTTCGTGATATGAAACCACTTGTAGCTTATATACTAGAGTGACAAAGAATTACCATTTATGTGTTATAGTGAGTTTGTACTGCTTGTACTTCCCCTTCCAGAAACAGCAGTTGATAAATATACATACATTGATAAGTGCTTATTTTTATATCCTCAGTTCTCTCCCTCATTTATGGGGTATAAGCGCGGCCGCATACGTTCGGAATTCCAATTGTAAATAGCCTAGGGAAATTAGACTTCTTCTGTAAAAAATGCCAGCTGTGATTTTAACAGAAATTTTTTTATGTTACTGTGTCATTCCGAATCAGAATTCCGAAACTTTGAGGCCACCTGAAGACTTGTCAAATACATAATTCACATTAAATATAGTATTTTGAAATGTGGCTTTCTGAAAAGCTCTTTAGGGTTCATACAACACATCAACAAACATCACCGGTAAAAAAGAAACATGGTTGGCTATATACGGATGTTATTTCTGAGCTCCCATCCTAGTCCAAAAGCACCGCTAGCACTATAACTTCTCCTTCTTGGCAAAGTCTAACACTTTGCAAATATCGCAGTCTGATTCTACGTTGCACGAACACCCCTCCTCACATTTTTTTAACTCTTCGCAAATTTTGAAGTTCTTGAACTGCTTCAACTCCTTTTTAACGGTGCTCAGATCACTTATTGCTGAACTCAGCTCGCTAAGGTCGCTCAACTTCGCTATGTATTCCACTGTTTTGTCAACTGAGTTTGCGGTGGTGGAACTGGCACCCTCCTGAAAAAAATGTCAATATTAACATGAATTCTTGAGGGTCTTCAGGTCAGAGAAGACGGTACCTAGAGGAAGTTCGACAGATAAGAATCAATCAAAATTGAAGTTTAGAAATATCTCATTCAGTTGTTACAAGTCTCTTTCACTACTAAAATAAGAAATCGCCATTATTTGCCGCATTTCCCTAAGAAAAAAAGGCTACGCTGCTACTCGGTTAGTACTTATAATGGAAATAAAAGCCCAGGCAAATAACGAAAATAATAATTCATGTAGGGCTTTGATTATTGGGCAAATAATTCTCTGCTATAAAATCCTTTATCCATTTTTGAATATTGATAATTATTTATTGTGTTCTACTACACAAATAAATACAGAGTCTATTTTATGCTTAAAGTTATTATGGTTGATTGTATTTATTTATCCCTTTAGTTAGCAAATTGATAAATTCGGAATACTGAGATTGGCTGGGAAACGAATGTAGACAGTATACCGGGTGTAAAGTTAGTATTGGGTCAACGGAAGTCAGGTGATAGAGGGCCTCAAAACCTATCGGATGAACCCGTATATGTGAGGTCCAAAATTTTATAGTTCAGGATGTATTTGCAATTTTGTGAAATTTCGAAGAAAACGGGATAATGAACTTTCAATCCCAATTAAAACTAAGCCAATAGGTTTAGGTCAGTGTTTTTCTTCTGAGATGAGCTAAATGCTTAGTTTAAGCAATGGTTATGTCACTTTTTAACAGAGCTTATTAGAAATCAACGCGAAAAACTTAAATTCACTTTTTTGTGCAAAATCTCTTCTATCCCTCAACTTTGGAGGGCGGTAAACAAATAAGGTTGTACTTAGTTATTCATTTTATTGTAAAAACTATTTCAATCCATTTAGAATAAGCCCTTAAAATTTCAGGTTGTTACGATAGGTGCCTTATCTTAAAAAATCTGTCTGTTTGACGCAGGTGGGTATCTATACATGTAAACAAGAAGTTCTATTTTACGAGCTACAGTCCAAACGATGTGATGGATTTTGACATATGAGGTACTGTTAGACTTGTCCTAGCAGTACGAGTGATACTTTGTTAACATTTTGAAAAATCAGAATGGCGGATTATTTACGCAAATAGCCAAGTCAGCTTAATGAGATTATGCAGAAATGCATTACTATTATGGTGCTGCCCTAGGAAATGCTCGAGCAGCTGCTCGCATGTATCGGGAGTATTTTATTATTGTATTTGCGATCTATGTTCATTGATGAAAAGATGTTAACCAAATCTTAAGGTTTATTATGAATCTGACTATGACTTTCCCTTTCTTATGTATACATACCGTACTGGAGGAGTCCAACTGTTATCCCTTATGTCACATAAACACGTCATGCAGCTGTTCTGCCGCTTTGACAGTCGCCATTTTGGAGGCCATCTCGTCCTCGAAGGTGACCATCTTCTCTTTTTGTTTTGGCAACGTTTTCCTCGGTACTCGAACCGTCAAGGGGAGATAGGTTTGACTAATGGGAGTATCACCTGACGTGATCGACAAGTCAAACTCACTCATGCTACGAGGAACGAAGTACTCCACTAGAGGTTCTGCACCTAAGAAAAAAACTTTATTCTATAGTTGTTCCCAATCATCGATGGTCCAATCAAGCACACCAAAGAATGGGGAAAAACCGAATAAATCAAACAAACTTTGTGTATTTTCAGCTGCTAGGAAAAGGCTTACATCATTTATGATTTGAAATATTGTCCAATTTCGACACAAAATGACCGTTTAAAAAGTTATATATTATAAAAATTATATGCGAAAAATCGGTATTCAAAAATGTATGAGCCGATTAATACCCTGTATGGTATGATTTAAGTTGGCATTGACAACAACCTATAATAAAGCACGTTTTTAGTTGCATCAGAACAACACATTATTCATCTTCCTTAATCAGGGTTAGAAACATAGTTTCATCCATCTTGGTTGCCGTGCTTATTCAAATATGTTAAAGACAATAGTTTTTGAGTGTTGTGCATGTCACTTGGACACATTGGTACGATAAAAATATTTGGTTGCCTCATGAGATTATGCCATATCCCATAGAGATTCTATATAAGTAGTTTCGATCAACTTACCGATTCCTGCTGATCTGCGAGCTGGCGCATTCCTGTGGAAATTGCTCTTCCTTGGAAGGCTGTTGTGATGGAATGCAGCAGGTTGCGTTCTCCTCACGGGAATGCTTTTGACAGCACCTTCCGTGGTTGGTCGTTGTCAGGAATCCAAAATTGCGTTTTCGTCTTCTTTGTTCGATGTCATTTCAGTTTTCGAACACGTGGATCCTAACGGCAAGCAACACAACACAAGCATAGAAAAATTCTTAGAAATCTTGAAGTCTGGATTAATTTAAAGATAACACAGATCCATTACATCCTTTGAGCAAATCTATAAATTGGCTTTGCATAACTTTTAATGCATTCAAAAATCAAGTGACAATCTAACGGAGCTATTACCTTCACAATTGTCTCCCAGTACAATATTCAAAGTTGCATTTTGGAATCTTTAACTTCAAATTGAGCCAGTCTTGAATAATTTTGATCTGAACTGAAAATGATTCAATTTTAGATTGCGTTTCTTGGATTAACCAATGATCGATTTTTATGAAATGTTAGGGATTGTCTAATATTTTGCACCATTGTTCGTGAGCTAACAAGGTGTCTAGTAGATAAGTGATAAACCTATTAAGCTTGATTAGATCTGACAACCTATGGTTCCGTCAGTTTCATTTTCCTCCGTATATATGAATTGTAGAAATAACTTTCCATGTGATCAGTATACATATTTTTTTAACATTGTTTGCAAAAGTTATGGACGCGGAATGTGAAGCAGACAGTGATGCAGCTCCTAATCCAGCCTGGTTGAAATCTACGTTGGATATGGAACTCGGAATCTAATTATTTCGACTGAAGCGATTAAGTAAGAAAAAGCATGGGCGCACATTAGGAAGGATGGCAAAAGGGGGGGGATAGGGTATCCGCTCGAGAAATAAGATATACCCTAACTGGTTACCCGTTTCTCAAGCAACGAGTGGCATGTCCTTTTTTGAGTTTCAAATCACCCGCAAAAATTACCTTGTTAGATCTGAATTGAGGACTCTCAGTCCCGTAAAGGAAGACACATGTACATTTTTAAAAATACAAACAATCCGACAGCAGTAACTGAAAAGAATGAAGTATCAATTGTGCTTGTCAGGCTATCAAAATCCATCAAGCTACTTGGGATGTAGACGGTGACAGAAATTGATCTCTCAAAGTTAAAGTTTGAGTTTAAAATCCGCGATTTTTATTTTATAAAATTTTACTATTGTTAAGACAAGTCTAGTAGAGACACCTCGCATGTCGAAGTCCATCACGCTGTTTACGCTGTAACCCGTGAAATAGGAATTCAAGGCTGATTTTTTTGATTAAATTAACGAGTACCCCTCCAACTCCGTCCGGAGACGGATATCTTGCTGAACGTAAATTCTGAGACGACCAATGTACCTCCCTTAAATTTTGCCATATGAGCACCCATGAGAAAAAGAGTCTTACCTAAGTATCGTAGTAATCGCAGCACCTCGTCCTGCACCAAAGTAAAACACATCGCGACCAGAGCCATCCCTGTCAGAATGTAAGCTGAGCATGCGCATAAAGATATTTCTTCCGCCTTTTGGCCAGGCAGCAGGTCTCCGAAACCTATAGTCCCTAGGCTGGTGAAGCAAAAATAGCTGCCTGAAAAGGAAATAGTTGTATGAATAAGCTACTCAAGTTTTGGTTAACTCTCATACAGGGTGCTCTTAATATTGGGGTTGTGCTTCATACTGGGTATAGTTCTTAGAGAAATAAGTAAGCACTCATAGTTAAACAGTTATTGAGTCCTGAAAAAAGTTGCGTTACCAATGATGGTCTTCAGTAAAAACATTAGGTGAAAAGGTAAACTAAACTGTTTGTACTTAAATCGAATGTACATCACAGGGATTTTCTTCAAAGGGATATTGATGTGTCACAAGTGTATTCAGATCGTTTTCCTGGACGATTTCATTCGTGCTACCTAGCTTTATTTACCTCGCACAAAAGAAAGTTGAGATGGGAGCAGAGGAGCCAGACAGCCCCGAATGTTGCAAACTGAAGATGTCTTCTTGCATTGGATGGCGACAACTTGTAACAATACTTACAAATAAGCAACATATGGCAGGGCAGTAATAATTGAAATTCCTTATTAAATGTATACGAATACTTTAGTCAATTCTTTTTAAACTTTTCATTGTTGATTTATGCTTTGTAACAGAAAACGTAGTACTTTCTGAAAAGGGGAGTTTCAACTTTCAAAACGCACTGTCTATGACATCGTTGGATAATCCTTTATTTCACAACTTAGTTAATCGTGATTGAAATACTGGCAGTTTAATCAAAGTACTACACTTATTTTTTGACCGAGTCATGTTAGCAGGCTGAAATTTCGGATAATGAAGTTGATGAATGAATACTATGTTCTACAATAAAAGTTGGATGTAATAGTGGGCCACGTGATAACTCATTTCTGAGCTCCTTATCAGTTCTAGAATATATATTTACCATCCTTCAAAATGAGCGCTAGATGGGTACTGACCAAAATCGCTGATCTACGATGATGGAGATGGAAATCTTGCCTTGGAATGTACGAGATGCGGTGTTGCCAAACGAAGCAATAATACAATATTGCAGAATTTGTGGCGATCCTGACCTTTCATTTCTACCTAAAATGGAGCGCCGTTAGGACCGACCCAAAATCGATCCTAAACAGATATGACACAATTCACAATTCAAACATGTGTACTCTCAAACTAAAACCATTACTTGGACGCAGGGAATACCCTAAAAATTAGTATAACATATTGGTAACGCTGCAGATGGACGCGTCAGCGTTGCTAGGCAATGCGGTGATGAGCTGCGCTATCCAGCTGATCTCTTTCTAACATATGTGTCTATACGCACTTATCTCTCGTACACATTGAACTCAAGCCGTCAAACAAATTTGGTCTTCAGTTTATACCTCAACGATTAATCATCAAAACGCTAAAGTATGTTATGTTAATCTTCTTCTTTTAAAGAATCTAGTCGAGTGTACAGTAGAATATGGTACCTTTAGCATCTAAGTTATCGACTTTGATAAAGAGATCCTTTGTAAAGAGAAAATTTATATAACATGTATGCTTTTCCTCAATGTCTATAGTAAAATTGACAGATGTCAAGATGGCTGCTGGGCGCATCTTGAAAAAAAATTATATGAAAACGGGGGTTTTGTGGCAAATCATTTTCAAGCTCTTGACGAGTACTTTTTAACCCTAGAATATAAAGTCAATACCTTTACCTACTACAAAAGGGTAGTATATTTAATAATTACCTGAGTACATTGACATTTAACTTGATAATTCGAATAAATACGTTGAGTTCAGTTTAGACGATGCTGGAAATGGTTGCCTTGAACTTCTTGACACAATAACAGCCGATCCGTAATTTCGCGTCGAACATTTTCAAACATAGTAAGTAACATCGATATTTCTACAAATATTTGTTATTCTCAGCCGTATATCCAATATTGAAGCAGGTTCAGTTTCGTTTGCTTCAAATTGCCCCATAAAAAAAGTCTAAAGGTGTCAAATCTGGCGAGTGAGCTAGTCATTCCACAGGACCTCTACGGCAAATCCAACGACCGGGGAAATTGTTATCTAAATAATACGTAACTTGTCTGTAGCAGTGTTGCTGGAATACAATATCAGCATCGAATTCATTACGATTCGCTTTGACGATTTCGGTGATTAGAGCGTCAATAGTATTTTGCAGCATATCCAAATACAGTTCACCGGTTAAGGTTTGTTCGATGGATAGAGGCCCCACAATATGATTTCCCAATAACCCAGCCCAAACGTTAATTTTTTGTGGATATTGAGTATGAGTTTCCGGGAAGACGTGAGGATTGGTGTCACTCCAATAACAACAATTTTGTATATGCACATTACCGTTCAGAAAAAATGTACATTCATTCATCACTAAAAGAAATATTTTGGATATAGGTAGGCTGCCGAGCAATAGTTTCCGTCATAGTCTCGCAGAATTCTATTCTTCGATCAGGGTCATCTTCAGGTAGCTGATGTACCATTTGAATTGTGTATGGGTGATACTTATTCTTTTTCAAAAGTCTCCATACAGTAGAAGGACAAACCTCATATCGTCGGCTAAATATGTTAAACTGCTAACTCCTTTTTTCGAGGTTTACAGGAAGAACAAAAAACGATTTTACCACAATGGTGTGCATTTAAACAAGCTGCTATTAAAGAAGAATATTTTTGATGATATTATCAATGGGTTAACAAGAAATAGATGTGGAAAAAATTATTGTATAAGATTTTATGGACAATAACTGGAGTTGGCAGTTGTTCATTTGAATAGAAAATAAGGAATTTTGGAGTTAGCAACTTTTATTTTTAGTAGAATATTTATTTTAGTGTATTCAAAATGATCAAAACATCTATACTAAAACATCTGAAAATTCACAGGTGTGGCAAATTATTATAAAAATGGTGATAGTCCGCTGGAATAGTACAGTTAATTTCTTGAAGGTCGGAATATTTTCGCGCAGATATTGGAATTTTCTCTTTATACAGATGGTCCAATACTGTCCAGGCAATAATGTCAACTTGAGATTTTCTATGCGCAAGTAATTCTCATTCATCAGACAACCGAAGTTTAGAATAGATGTCCCCTACTGTTACCTACAAATAAAAATTAAACACTTAAATATACCAAGCACTCTTATAATTTAAATGTTTTTATTACTTTTGGTTCTCCTAGCTTATTCCCTGGTCAAATACTTCTGACAGCTCCTAACTTTTTTGATTAATCGGGAGAGTGATCTAAGTACATTACCTCGTAGAGCTTAGGATTTTTTCTGGCTTTTTTGCAGTGGTATGCATAATCTGCAGGGACGTTTAGCCTTACTCGATTGACACAACGTTCTATGATGCATGTTCTAGCATGCATGGAATCTACTTGCATTTGACTATGTCCAACCTCTAAATATTTATTCTCAAGTGTAATATCATGTTTTCTGCATAAATTTAAAGCTGCGTAGGCCAAAGTCACGTTTCTGTTCTGGTACGTACGACCATCACATTATTATCTTTCGGTCATCTTTGTCCATTGTAGGAATGACTTTTGTTTGCAAAAATGAGTAGAAACATGAGGAAAATTCTTTTGCGGTCAGTCCAGCTTTCCCCTCATGCCAGAAGAAACAATTTGTTGAGCATAATTATTATAAAAGCAAAGGCTGTGAACGCATAATTTTGTCTTCCTATATGAGCTGCTAAAATTAGATTTAGGAGACACTAAAACAGCTTGAAGATCAACAGTAAATACGCATTTCTCGTTTTCCACATCCTTTTGTTTTTCTGCTCTTGCCTCATTTTTGTTTAATATATGAGCGTTATACAGGTTGTCCGCAAAGTTAGGGCTTTCCTTTATATGACGTATAGACTTTGAGAAAATTTGCGGATTTTCATATACATCAATGTCTTAAGAGATACGAGATATTGGGCTCCGCAAACTCAGTCAAACCTGAACCAAACCGAAGACGGTCCTGACCCTCGATCACGTCCACAGCGCCAGCGTACAGTTATACGACGTATGACTGCGATTTAAATACGCTAGTATGCAATCTAACCTAGACGCCGGTAGTATAGGTCAACAAACCAATTGGTAAGCGATTGTTGTTCAAAAAATACAAAAAATGGCACACACATACACCAATAGCTAACTCAAGAAGTCAATTTCATTAAAAAAAAACAATAATAAATACTGATATCTCCCAAATACGCCCAAACGTAATTTAAGAGAAAAGCTGCCACTTCAACATAACGGTAATTTTGTTTACTATAAAACAAAATAAACATCTTTTTACAAAATCAAACTTACCTTTCATTAAAAAGTATTACCGGAACACCAAACTAGTGTCAAACTGTGATATTTAAAAAAAAGCCACGTTTATTCTAGAGCTGAAGAGTGTTGGAGGAGCACACGTGCACCTGTCACTTTGTTTTGACTGGAGCAGCATTTCGATGAATAAACTTGACAAACATTTAGTTTTGGTATGATAGAAAAGGAGCCATAGTTGTGAAATAGATAAATATCACCAATGAAAATGGAGTTAGCAGTTTAACGTATTTAGCCGACGATATACATTCGCGATGGAGGAAGTAGACTGTTGGGGACTTATATAATCTCACCAATTATTTGAACTTGCTCTTCTTCCGGGATGGTCGGATGACCTGGGGGCTTTTTGTTGTTTACACTACCAGTAGCTGTAAATTTAGTTACAAGTTCCCTTAAAATATTTTCAACAGATAGGACGATTCGGGAAACGATCATTAAAAATCCTTCCGGTCTCGTGAAAGTTACGCGTCGCACCATAAATAAAAATAGCTTCGATTTTTTCTTCCAATGGACGGGAATTGACCATTTTAAAAATATACTAAGTGACATATAAATCCGAACACCCAGTTTAAATGGTTTTATTTTAATAAAATTTTGTATAAGTACTTAATGAAGCATAATAAGTAAATGATAAAAATTTCAAAATGATTGCACTGCTTTAAAGCCCTTTGACCTTTAATAATGTGTGGATGCACCCTGATGTGCTACGCATTCTCCAACGCGCCTAGGCATGCTTCTGATCAGGTGGTCAATGTCCTCCTGTGGTATCTCATTCCAGGCAACCACCAACTCCTCTCGAAGTGCCTCTAGAGTCTGAGGAGGACGTTGCAAATTGAGCAATCCCCTACCCATCATATCCCACACGTGCTCAATTGGGGATAAGTCGGGAGATCTTGGTGGCCATGGTAACAATGTGACATCATTATGTTGAAAGAAGTCTATTGTGACTCTTGCAACATGTGGTCGGGCATTATCTTGTTGGAAAGTTGGATCTGCCAGGGTGTCAAGATAGGGTAAAAGATGGGGTTCTAGAACTTCGTGGATATAACGCTGCGTGTTCATGTTACCTCTGATGAAGATTAAAGGTGACTTGGACCCATAAGCTATAGCACCCCAAAACATAACTCCAACAGTGTGATGAACATAATATCTTTCAACAAAAAGCTGTGGATTCCTCCTTTCAAAATCGAGACTCGTCACTAAAGACGATACTGTTCCGTTCCTGATCCCCTAGTGACCGTTGTCTGCACCACTCAAGGCGATTACGTCGGTGTTCTCGAGTTCAAGGGAGGACCCAGTGTGGCCGGTATGAAAACAAGCCAAAACTTCTCATTCGTCGATAAACACTTCGCATGCCACTAGGTCTTCCGTGTTCTGCAAACCATTCATTTGCAATGGACCTAGTAGTGGAGAAACGGTCCCTTAAGGCCAATAATCTTAGGCGGCGATCTTCACGGTCTGATGTTCTACGGCGGCATCCAGTGCCCCTTGCTCTTTGCGTACGGCCTTCTTGAAGCCATGCCTGACAACACCTAACCACTTCTTTGCACTCTCTGCAATTGCCCGGAAAGAAAGTCCGCTTCCCGAAGTCCCACTATACGGCCCCTATCAAACTCACTAAGTTGACGAAATCGTACAGGTCTCCGTACTCTCTGCATCGTAACCGATCGTAAAGGATGTCAAGAACCAAAATCCGCCAACGTTGATTCTTTACTGCGGCTGAAATATTCATTTTTAGAGCGTTAGTGAATTAAAAAAAAAGCAGTAT